AAATAGCTAGCAACAACAATAACAGCAGACTAATTTTGGAGCGGGGGAGGAAAACCACTACGTGAACTAGTTAAAGGATAAAGTGGTTTAGTAAGGTAGATGACAATGTATAACGGCATAGGAAAAATCATGGAAACAGAGCAAATTAACAGGATCAGTTAATATAATATAGGACATCAGATTGAATGACAATTCAAGTCATGATACAGGCCATTTGTCATAGGAGTGAGTCGTCAATCGAAAGCACGGCGAAACATCCACGTCTTTATTTCCTTACGGAATGTGGCTAGGGAGGGTGCCAGCCAGGCATGTAGCGGGGGGGGGGGGGTTGAGGGGCTTCAGCCCCCCCCCCCGAAATTCTCATGGTGGTTCGCGAAAAGGCCTTACTGGTGCATTATTTAACCTGTTATGTTTATTCATATCATGATCTGATCACCATACTCAATATATCCCATATGCATGGGGGTATTGGGGTAATGATACAAAAGGTTTGCTAGGCTAGACCCTCTTTCACTCAGACTCAGCCCCCCCGAAACTCAGCCCCCCACCCCCCGAAAAAAACTCAGCCCCCCCCCCCCCCGAATTGAAATCCTGGCTACGGGCCTGGTGCCAGCCTAATCTCCCTGGGGAGGGAGTTCCAGAGAGGGGGGGGGGGGGGCACCACCGAGAATGCCCTCTCTCTCGTCCCCACCAACCGTGCCTGAGAAGGGGGCGGGAGCGAGAGAAGGGCATCCCCGGAAGATCTTAAGGACCCCGCGTGTGCTCATAAGGGAGGAGACGGTCACGCAGATAGGCAGGCCCTGAACAGTTTAGGAGGAGCATGTTCCCATGTTACTCACAATTTCAAAGGGTAGATTTAATTTCACAATATGAAAGGATAAAATTTATTACAACTAGGGATCATGAGACTAAATAACGTTTCTTTAGGGACCACATCCAGCCCATAGACTATAAAGCTGCCTTCCTTGTTTTAAAGTATACTATTAATTCATTGGGATTTAATTCAACGCAGTCCACCAAACCCTGCTGATGTTCAACTCCTGTTCATTTCCCTGCGATTTCCATTTGTACTAAAAGTTTTCTTCTGTGCAAGGCAGAGAAAAATACCAACTAAATTTAGGCACTGAATGTTCTGTCTGTGCAATTTTACCTAACAGTGAGACTGTTCATAAATCATTTATTTTGGTTTTGTAGCCAGGGGTGAATTTTAGCTTTCTCCCGAATAGATAATGTCTTACAGTTCAAAGAATGTTTTTTTACACAGTGGTAACCAAAGGTGCTTTATCTCATTCTTGCTGTGAAATAATCCAGTGATCCCATACCATGGTCTGACCATGAACCAAACCCTTTTGGAAAAAGGCCAGCTTAAGTGGGTCAGGGAGAACATTAGTTGAGAAAAAGAGGAAATAATTGCTGATGATAGTGTGTACTTTCCTGCTACTGCAGTGTCTGCATTTATCTTTTTTTTTTTTAAAGGAAACCCACACACATATCTATATATATACTCATGGAACAGTTTGTTTCATGTCATCAGCCTATCCATTGACAAGCATCAGATTGTCACTGACAGGCCTGTTTGGATAATATGTGATAGTGAATGACAGTCAGCCAAATAATTAATTTCTATTGGCTCCTGTGTACTTTTACAGTTAACAGCGATTTAGTAGTAATTCATGTTGGAAAAAGTGCAATCAGTCAAATGCTTTCTTTGTTTATCTCATTCTTGGACTACCTAACCCTGACAAAAACAGATTAGTGCTAGAAGGCATTCTAAAAATGTCAGTGCTTTTGGCGGTTGGGGGAAAGCAGTGGTTTTATTAATCCTTTTAGGCAAAGTGGATCTTTTGGGGGTCATTTTTCAGGGAGTTCTGCTCCATGGTTTTCCATTATGGAAATTTACTATCTTCACTACCTCTGAGGATGCTTGCCCTAGATGCAGGCGAAATGTCAGGAGAGAATGCCTCTAGACCATGGTCATATAGCCCGAAAAAACCTACAACAACCCAATTCACTATCTTATTTGCTCAAGATGGTTGATTCTACTTTCTGAATGGAGTATTATAGTCTTCAGAAGTTTCTGAGCTGCTAACTCTACTGTTCCTGCTGGGAACTTTAGTTCTTCAACATTTGAAGAGCCACATAATTCTTGCTTCTAGTATAACCATCCAGTGTTGAATTGTATGATTTTCATTGAAGAACCAGGAGTCAATTAACATAGAATAATTATAGCCCTATTTATTCTACTTAAGTGCCACGATTTTAAAGGAATTTGGTGTTTTTAAATCCAAAAATGATCTTGGATTTCTTTACTACATACATTTTTTCCACAACTTGCTTTAACATTATTATTATTATTGTGTTTGGGTTGTTGTAGGTTTTTTTGGGCTATATGGCCATAGTCTAGAGGCATTCTCTCCTGACGTTTCGCCTGCATCAGGAGAGAATGCCTCTAGACCATGGCCATACAGCCCAAAAAAACCTACAACAACCCAGTGATTCTGGCCATGAAAGCCTTCGACAATACATTATTGTGTTTATTTATACCCTGCTTTTTCTCTCCAAGGAAACTCAAAGCAACTTACATTAAAAACATTTTAATACAGTTTAAAATTGACAAATATACAAACATTAACACAGAATTAAATACATTTGGTATTAAAATCAGTTAAAATTCATAACCGCATATTCAAAACTAAAAATGATAGCAGCTCCTGACTTGATTTTTATTTTGTAATATGTGAGTGGTCACTTTTTACTTTTGTAATATGTGTGTGTTCACTTTTTACTTTTGGAGAGTAAAAAGTGAACAGTAAAAAGAGGATTAATATCTTCTAATAAACATATTCACTGATATGAAACATAAAAGTACTAAAAAAAATCACCCTGTAACATCATTGTCTGCACTTAATCAAAAACTTAATCAAAACTCAGTAACAACCAAATTAATAAAAATAGCAAATTTTTGAAAGAACTATGTAGTACTATATTTTTGTTTAAAAAAAATAATGCGGGGAAAATAACAGGCAATTACAGTTCCAATATGCAAGAACGGCTCTCCAAAAGACTTTACGCCTGGTAACTATAGACCGATCAGCCTGCTTTCCATCCCAGGGAAACTGTACACATGATTTCTTTGTAAGAAGCTGATGAAAGAATTGGAGGCAAATAAAACACTCTTTGAGATGCACAGGTGGCATTTAGGAAAAACTCATCCTCTATGGATCAGAGCTTAATTCTCTTATATCTAGTGGAGAAATATCATAAAATAGTGAAAGACAAATTCTTTGTGGAGCTAGATCTAAATGACAAAAGAGTACTCTTTCTCATCAAAGAACTACACAGAGATAGCCACTTACAGGTTAGATGTGCCCCCCTGGACCAAATTTCTAGGCCAATTCAAATGATCAGAGGGGTTAGGCAAGGCTGTATCTTAGCACCTACCCTATTTAACATATTCCTAAATGACCTAGAAGAAGTCATGATGGATCCACAAGGACACCTTCCCGGCTTGGGCACAAGGAGAATCCCCATTCTGCTTTACACAGATGACACAGCCATCCTCTCCAGATCCAGACTAGGACTCCTACACCAACTCAAGATATTCACAGATTACTGTGAAACAAATGAGCTAAATATCAATTTTAGCAAATCAAAAGTTCTTGTTTTTGAATGCAAATATACAAAATACAAATAGTATACCGGAAAGTTTTTCTTAGAGCAGGTAAAAAGTTTCCAGTACCTGGGACTCACCTTCCAACATATGCGATCATGGAAAGAACGTAGAGGAACTGTGACCCAAAAAGCTAAGGCTGGATGAGCGGCTATACTAAGATTTTACTACACCAAAGGAGGACAACATGTCCCCTCAGCATTAAAAAAATTTAATACCAAAATTGCTTTGAAACTTCTTTTCAATGCAGCCATTTGGTGGGAAAACATGTATGTAAACTTATACAGAGTCCAAGCAAGGTTTATAAGAGACCTGTTAAACGTGCCGTACTGTGTTCCTAATGCGGTCCTGTTATTAGAAACAGGTGAATGCTCACTAAGCACAAGGGCCTGGATTCTGAAAATGAATCTCTGGCTCAAAGCAATTGTATGCAAATTGGGAACGAGCCTATCACATTTTATCCCATCCGAAACCACTCAACCCCTTTGGGCAGGGTGGGCCGATCGGAAAGCGACCTCAATTGGTCTATCAACGTCCCTTTTGCAGCACTTAGGTTTCAAAATGGCACTGGAATCACTGAATCAACGGATGAGGGACATTGCCCTGGGAGACCTTAGAGCCTGCTCAAATTCATCATGTTCCCCATAATCTTTGAACTTACCATACACGGAGCCGTTCAAGTCATGTAAATATATTAACAGCCTCACAGTGTCTAATTCCTGCAGACTCTCCACAGAAGCGAGACTAAATGTATTTCCATCAGAGCTGCTAAATGGCAGACTATCTGATATCCCCTACTCCCCTACAAGATTATGCCCGTGCGATGGAAATGCAATAGAATCATTAGAACACATCTTGTTGCAGAGTTGCTGTTACCCAGCTCAATGAGGCCAACTCTTACACCCAATCCTGACCCAATTTTCTGAGCATTCCTCGCAAGGGAAGGCCAGACATCTTATGGAGGACAAGCACCATGGGGTGACCCTCATGGTGGCAAAGTTCATGGTGGCAAGGCTGAGAAAGAGCAGTGTCTCCGATCAGGGTATTACCTAACACGGTATAATGTGTCTATTTCCCCAGTTATGAGCGATCTGTTAACTCCTGTATGTTATTTATTTAATAGTTGCGGGTCCATGAACCGTAATAAAGTTTATGTATGTATATTTTTGTTGTATTTTTTTTCAGATTCATCATTCGGAACACATTATAAACCTACAATAACGAGACAAGTTTTTCATCTGTGTTATTAGAAACATTCCAACACACTTAATAGTTTAGAAACATATGAATCCTTGGCAAAAAAATTCTTATATCTGCTTTTTTATTGCAGTTTATTGAAGGCCGGCTTTCAAAGCTCAATGCAGGAAAGGGGTTCTCAGATGTTTTCGAAGAAGAAATCTCTTCAGGTGGCTTCAGTGGAGGTATATGTTTACTTGTATATTTCTTGGTTCATTGTATTCTTCACTATTGACAGAAGTGTAGAGAACACCTATAGTCTTTAGCATTAGGCTTTAGCTTGGTACTGACCCAAAGGGAGTTCATGCTGGTATGCCGAGTACACTGATTGTTAGATCTACAAAACAGATGAGACATTACAGAAAATGACTACTTGGTAAAATAATTTCTTCCATTGCACCAATATTTGACACACTAATCACAAAAGTCAAAGTCATGTAAAATTCACATAGTTATGTCCATAGTGAATAAAGCAGCTAAAGTTCTTCAAATTATAATGGCAATTGAATTCTGATGAGTAGATAGATAATACTTGGAGGATAGTAGGAGAAAGTATTCATTAATGTAGTCCACAGTTGGTGTTTGCAATTGTGGAATTGGTCATTTATAACTTCAGGATGTTATCACTTGAATTTAGTTTCAAGTCTTCTTTTTTGTTTTTGTGAGTCAGTTATCTATGTTCTGCACTTTTGGATTATCCATGTGTGTACACATTTGTGTGCCAGAAATTTTCAGAGGTAGGCCAGTACCACAGCTTTCTTCAGTAAGAGAAAAAAGAACACTTGTGGAAATAGAATCATAGAGTTTGAAGAGACCTCGTGGGCCGGGCCATCCAGTCCAACCCTGGTACCTCTCGTGTAATTAGACTGAAGGTGGATGATACACAACCTCAGACAAAGAGCTGGAATATTGGTTTCAGCAGATATCACAAACATTGTTTCTGGTTTGAAAGTGTTATTTCTTGTTTAATTGTGAAGTTCTTTAACTTCGAAAGTAGTTGTTATACTCCAGAAACTTCATTTTTGTCACTGTCACTAACTATGTTGAAGTCGTTGAAACTCTATAAGATATTAATTGACAAACTAGAACAAAATGTGGTGCAGGATATCCTACAATCACAAAGTTTTTGCAGTTTAATAAACTTTTTCCATGTTTTTATGATAGAACCAATCAAGAAATGACATTTATAACCCAGGAATAAAAATCGTGTTCCATAGTGATACATGTGGGGGAACTAGCACCTTTTTCCCCATCTTGGCAATATTTGTAGTCATTTTACCAGTCTGGAGAATAACAGATTGAGTTGAAATTCATTACAAAATATAGCAATTCAGTTGCATTCTCAGTCCCAAACTGGCATCTTATCTAGCTTTGGAATCATACTTCAAAATTAAACAGTTTCTAGTGCAAGAATGTCATGTTTTAACAGGATAGCTTTATTGCCAAACACATTTGTGGATCATGTTACAGTTATGTAAGTCGTGTTTTGAGTAGATCTGTACATGAAATTGCTGGTCTGAGATGTCAAACGTGTGTTGTTGCCAAACACTCTAAGACAGAAGGCTAGATGTTGGGCCTTGTATGTAATTTCATATTGAAAACGAACAGGGGGAGAAGATGGCGAGTCCTTGCCTAAACATCTGTCCTAGAAACTTTTCTTCTGAGGACAGAAATGAATCTTGGTAGCGGAAACACAACCTGGATTGAGCATCCAGCTGCCTTTTAGGTACATGACAAGCAGTTTCCTACCAGGTCAGGTTATTTCTGCATCTGTGGTTCGACTGTTCAGAAACCCTCCAGTCTGAAAGCAGCATTTATTCTCACAGATCGCTGCTTAATCTTTTAAACTAATTTAATCTGGTGTCTTACCTCCATTTATTTACTTGCTGCATGGCCGTTTAGCAGAAATCTGTAGTTGAAGGAAGAGATTTGTGATCATGGATTACTCTTCCCACAGAATGGGTTAATACGTAGTGTTTTGGCTCTATTGCCAAATAGTGCAGAGTAAACAGAATTTCCCCCTGGCTCTTGATGTTAGCTTTGTTATGGTGCTTAAGAGGCTTTTGAAACACTGTTATAAATCCCAGGTAATTCCTCTGGAAAACCTTTGCATGTAATTTCCCCCCTAAGCTCATGCTATGAGTCTAGTTAGCAGCTGTCGTTGCCTCTTACACTTTTCTCAAAATTAACAGTAAAATTGCTTTTAATGTTATCTGAGTAGATGCCTAATCTTGGCTTATTCTAGTAAACAGTTTCAGAAGCAAGGCTCCCTCTTTGAGCTGTCAAATTTTAACTTGACCATTGTGAGCAATTTATTAGAGTAACAGTACCCAGTGAACATATATATATATTTGTAGCTCTCCCCTTGGCCTCGTTTTCTTCATCTACAAAGGCAGTAGCTACTGTTGATGGCAAAAAAAGAAGAAAATGAATGAGTGAATGAAAGCCAGCAAAGCAAGCTGCCATTTAGAGCTGTAATAAATAAGACAGTATCCCCACTTGTTTAGCTCATGATATCTAAATATTTAAATTTCAGTGGAAAGTGTGAATAAATATCAGACAAATATTGTATTAGTGTTTCTAATATTTTATGTTTCCCTTTAATTTGAATTTTAGGAAATTCAAGATCATATCACCAGTGGGTATGTAAAGTAAAGGTATGAGATGATGATGATTTATTTATTTATGATATTTCTATCCCGCCTTTCTCAAGCCCGAAGGCGACTCAAGGCGGCTTACAAATTTGATGCCATAAAAATCCACAATATGCAATTAAAACGTTTAAAACAGCATTATAAAATCAATATAAAATCAATTCAATACAAAAACCATTAAAAACATGATGATGATGATGATGATGATGATGATGATGATGATGATGGTGGTGGTGGTTTACTTGCCTCTCCTTGTGGCTTGAGGTGTTTTATCTTGGTTAAAACACCAAGATAAAACAAAACACTATTGAAATACATATAACAAATATACACAAATAAAATACAAATTAAAATTACAATATTGGATACTCTGGTGTCTGTGTTGCACTACAAAATATGTCAGTAGCATGCATTCTTGACTATAATGGGATAGTTTTGCTGTTTGTTAGATTAGTGGGAAATATCTGGGAATGTATACAACATATTTGATAATATATGAACAATGAACTTCTGGACAAGCCACTCTGTACAACATCCATTTCTGTAATCAGCTTATGAAGGAGAACTTCCTGGTGAATTGTTCCCTGTATGATTACATTAGAGTACTTTGATAAATATTTCAGCCCTAGAGATGATATATTAGAGCCTTTGGGTGGTAGCAGACCAAAGTAGACGAAAGACAGCTGTAGAAATGTGTAGAAATGGCATATGGGAGGATAATGGGAAATATATTTTAACTCAACAAGGAAGTAGCATTTTTTCTGAACTGTAACATTTTATTTAGGTTGATAGTAGGATTACTGTGTGTTTTACGTATTTTAGAATGTGTACATATTTTATATTTTTCAGAAAGGAGGTGCCTTGATCAACACGGCAATGAACAAAGCCAGTCCAGCTGTGAGAACAGCATACCGATATGTAAGATGTGTACCTTTGTGTTTATACAACCAACGGCATGTCCTGTTCTTACGCAAGATATTGCAGAATGTTGTTTCCTCTACACTCCCATATTCCTGAAAGGAAGGGAAGGGTAGTAATAGAGTACACTGGAAGCAAAATGGGATGTTCATCTCTTTTATTGATGCTGTCATTGACCTTGAGGAAGAAGATCACATCTCACATTTCTTCCCCCTTCTTTTCTCTTATTTTATTTTTCCCTTAATATTTCAGTGTAATGAATTCCTTTTTTCTTAGCTTTAATTTGTTTGTTTTATGGAGGACTGGAAGCAAAGCCGTTCTAGTCTACTGCTATTTCTTACAGTAGCAAGCCCCCTCCTCAACTTGGTTTGGATGACAGGCTGGCATAGAGAATTTTGAGAATGACCCTGAATGGCTGTAGCTACATAAAGCATGTCTGAAAGTAGTCAAAGTAGTCAAGTTGACCCTCTTCTCAAAATGGCTGGCTTGTTCTAAGGAGTTAAGATACAGAAATTGGTGCTTTGCCAGAAGTGGGCATGTTGTGAAACCAGATAGCAAGTTGTATGTTTTTTTACCCCTTCATTTTACATGTATGTTGTCCGACCATTGGGAAAATGTTGCCGCCCTAGGTGTCAAACACGGAGGAGAGGCTTCCTTGCTGGGTAAATTATTCTTCCAAATCACATTCTTCCTTTGAGGCTTCAGTCATCAATAAATAAATAACTCCCTTAATCTCATCCTTAAAAGAGAATTTTTAATTATGTATCATTCGAAATAGTACTGAACCTATGAAAAAAAATAATCCAGGTAAATACATTAAAGGCCCTGTATATTCATGTGCTCATTTATAATTTATATACAGCTCATTAACAGATTGGTGGGAAATTGTGGATCGCTTTTTCCTACTTTATATACCTCTACAATTTTTGCCTTTTATAATCCTGAGCCAGTATATTTGACCATCACTGGATTCTGATTGCAGAGCCTCCATTCGTGAAGTTCTTTTTGATGGCCTTCCTTTTACATTTTTGTGTTTCCTGACACAACATCACTCTTTAGTGCAGTGGGAACTCAAAAGGGCAGCTTCTCAGACTTTGCCAAGGGGAAACCCTGTATGTATCAGTAACCAGGTTTTCCAAGGTGCAGTTATCCCCCACAAAGATGTCTTGCAATTTCAGTGGCCCCATTGGTACATAAACTAAATCTGACTGCGTGGAAGCACTGGACACAAATCATATCCTGTATCTGACAATAAATTGTAGACCCGTAGAAATAAATCATATTTTTCTAGTGATGCTATCCAAAACATGCACTTGACTTGTTTAAAATGGTAAATGAATATAGATTGTGCATGCTGAGCTATGTAGGAGTGTAGATGCTCCTTAGCTGCATTGCAGTGTTTTCAATGGACTCTGGCATCATCCCAGTTATTGATTCTACTTAGTTCTGATTGATTCAATCCATGGGATTTCCTTGCCACTCAACCATTGATTGAACTTTAGACTGAAGAAACATGAGCGTGCGATCAACTAGATTACAGTACCCATGATCCTTGGATATCAGTTATACAATATGTGGTTTGTTGTAGTTATGATTCTAAAATGTGTAGAGCAGTGGTTCCCAACCTGTGGTCCGTGGACCACCAGTGGTCTGCAAGAACTAAAATATTCTACTAAAATATTCTACACCATTGCAACAAGAGTGACTAGTCTCGCAAAACCCTCTTATAGTGCCGAGGCTTATTAAAAATATTGTTTTCTTTGGGCGAGCGGATAACAACTACTCAGTATCAGAAACTAGAGCTGATGTGGTCTATATAATACAATTTTCTGAATCAGCACCCAAAATAACCAAACTGAATCTAAAGCTGACTAAAAATTCATTTGTAACCTTTTTGGTACTAATGTTGGAGAGTGGTCCCTGGTCAAAAAAAGGTTGGGGACCACTGGTGTAAAGACTGCAAGTCTGCCTACCATTAGTATAGACCAGGGGTCCTCAAACTTTTTAAACAGAGGGCCAGGTCACAGTCCCTCAGACTGTTGGAGGGCCGGGTTTTAATTTGAAAGAAAAATGAATGCACCTATGTACACTGGACATTACACAGATATGTAAACCCAAATTTCCTAGTTTCCAACAGACCTCACAACCTCTAAGGATGCCTGCCATAGATGCAGGCGAAACATCAGGAGAGAATGCTTCTAGACCATGGCCATACAGCCCGAAAAACCTACAACAACCCTGCACATATCTTATTTGTAGTGCAAAAATCACTTTAAAACAATACAATAATTAAAATGAAGAACAGTTTTAACAAATATAAACTTATTAGTATTTCAATGGGAAGTGCAGACTTGCTTTTGACTGATGAGATAGGATTGTTGTTGTTATTGGTGTATGCTTTCAAGTCGTTTCAGACTTAGGTTGACCCTGAGTGAGGGCCGGGTAAATGACCATGGAGGGCCGTGCCTGGCCCCCGCGCCTTAGTTTGAGGACCCCTGGTACAGACCTTTGAAAACACATGGATCACCCTGAGTCCCCCTACAGGGGTTGAGAAGGGCGGGGTACAAATGGTTGAAATAATAAATAAATTAAATGCAAATCCCATTTACTTTCCAACACTTACCAACACTTTCTTAAAACAATACTATTTGAAGAGAATGGATTGTCTGCAGTCCATATTCGCACCAAAATCATTGTAATGGTTACAGTTCAATCTTTATTAACCGTCACCTGACTACCTGAATGGATTGTCTGCAGTCCATATTCGCACCAGAATCATTGTAATGGTTACAGTTCAATCTTTATTAACCGTCACCTAACTACCTCTGAGGATGCTTGCCGTAGATGCAGGCGAAACATCAGAAGAGAATGCCTCTAGACCATGGCTATATAGCCCGAAAAACCCTACAACAACCTGTCTTGATAACATTTTCTTGCATCACAGCATATAAATATCACTTTTTAAAACGAGTGACCTGTACACCTTACCTGCCCAATATCGAAGTTGTTCTGAAAGCTACACATTGGAGCTTCAGTTGTAGAAATTCCAGCAGCTAAATTGGATCCAAACGGATGCCTAATGAAAATGCGCTTGATTCTTTTTAAATGTACCACTCCCCCCTTTTAGGAGAAAAATGTACGTTATCTAAAGATGTCTGTACAATTCCTTGGCCTCTAAGAATGGTTAGCACATCTCCAAATGGACATAATAACTCTCATTCTGTTTTAGGCTGAAATATCATGAAATGGAATGAAACTTAGCTAATTCTCTTAGTACAATGAAACCTACTAATATTATCTACTAGCTTGGGCACCCGGCGTTGCCTGGGTTATTTGAGAAAGGAATATTGTATCAAGTTTGGTCTTTATCAGTTATTTATATGGCTGGCAGTGGTCTCAGGAAGTTAGTGAAGGTACTGCGAGTCCTATCATCTGTGGTCCATCCTCCTCCAAACTGCACCAGGATGGAGAGTGGGTCATGGGGGCTCTGTGTGCCAAGTTTGGTCTTGATCGGTCATTAGATGAGGGTTGCAGCAGTCTTGGGAAGTGAGTGGAGGTACTTGAAGTCCCATCATCCATAGTCTGTTCTTCCATCCTCCTCCAAACTGCAGTAGGATGTCGAGTGAGTGAAGGTACTGCAAATCCCTCAGGCCCTTTCCTTTCTCTTCTCATCCATTTGAGAATGTTAGAATTGTTTTTTGTATTTGTTTGTTTTTTTGTCGTGTCAGGAGCGACTTGAGAAACTGCAAGTGGTTTCTGGTGTGAGAGAATTGGCCGTCTGCAAGGACATTGCCCAGGGGACGCCAGGATGTTTGATGTTTTACCATCCTTGTGGGAGGCTTCTCTCATGTCCCCGCTTCTCTCATTAACCCTCTTCGCCACCAGGGGCTGCTGTTGAGGCTGGCCAATCAGAAACCATATGCAAATTTCCTTCTCTCATGTCCCCGCTTCTCTCATTAACCCTCTTTGCCTGCAGGAGCTCCTGTTGAAGCTGGCCAATCAGAGACCATATGCAAATAGCACCACAGTGGCAGCCAATCAGAAAGCTGCCACAAACTCCTCCTCCCTACGTCCTCCCTCTGTCCTCCCTCGCACACAAACTTTGACTTTTATTATATGTATAGATGTGAGCAGGCAATATGGAGAAATGTGAACCTAAAACTGCTAGGTTGTGAAACACTACTAACCTAACTTTTCTCCCTTTCAACAGGTGACTGAACCTAGACCTTAGAAATATTCAAAGTAATACTGTAATTAGTATATATTTGAAATCCAGATACACGTATGCCAAAAATCCAACTTTTAATTTTCTTAAAACTTATTAGCAGTCATGTGTGAAATTTAAAAAGGAAGTAATATCCCCTTTTTTACCACATAATGTGAGAGATTTCAATTTCAATTAAATTTCCCATCGTCTAGTGCACTCTTCCAACCAGTGTTTTATAAATCCACTTAGTTGTTTTTTTCTTTCTCCTCTTTCATAGGCAAAAGATCATGCGAAACAGGGAATAAAAGAGGTAAAGAGTAAGTTGAAACACAAGGTGCGTAACAGACTTTGTACTTTCTTACCTTGTTTCTTGCTTCAGTTTGAAGCATATACCTTACAAATCCCCCAAGATTTGTGTTTTTAATGACTTTTGAAATATGCTTAGCCCTTTGTTCAACAATACATTTTTTATAACAAGCCCTCTGGCAACTATCTGTCATTCCATGCATCCACTTGAATAATCTCTTTATTGTTTGCATATTTATCATGGAAAAACAGAGGTCTTCAAAGATACATTAACAGGATGTATGTTTTCATAAAGCTGATTGCTTTGATATCACAATTGAAGCCTTTGCTTCAAGCTGAGAATTTAAGGCAATTGGGTTTTACTAGAAAAAATTGATTTAGGAAGTGTAGTTGTCTGTTTAGGTTTCATGAGATCTGTAAATGGTGGCAGTACTTTAACATGCTAAAACCTCTTTGCCTTTCAGGAGCAACAAGGTAAAACTATTGGAAGCACTTCACAGAGAAACTGTTCATTTATTTAAATTGGTATTTTATTTTTTACACCTTCAGTACTTATTTGTAAAGAGAGCAGATTTAATTTTATTGCTTTCCCCTTCGAGCTCTCAACGAAACAAATATTTATTTGGACCATTTATACCGCGTCCTTCTCAACCTCCGTGCAGGGACTCAGGGCAGCTTCCAAACAGGCAAAATTTCAATGCCAAACATAATACCTGTCCAAACGGATTCTCCCCTATGAACCATCAAGATTGTTAAGATCTTCTGGAGGGGCCCTGCTCTCGGTCCCACCATCGCAACTGCGTTTGGTGGGGAGGAGGGACAGGGCCTTCTCGGTGGTGGCCCCTCGGCTCTGGAACTCTCTCCCACTGGAGATTAGAACTGCCCTCTCTCCTGACTTTTAGAAAACAGGTGAAAACCTGGCTCTGGAATCTGGCATTTGACGAGTGAGTCAATAACTCGTGACTACACGGGCGGATGGTGATGAACTACGATTTCATTTTGACGACTTGGCCTATGTAATTATATGATTGTATTTTAGTATTTTAATGTTTTAGTGTATTATGGGATGTGATGTTTTTAAACGATTGTCTGTGATATTGTTGTTGTGAACTGGCCTGAGTCCCTCTGTGGAGGTGAGAAGTATATAAAACTTCTAAATAAATAATAAATAAAATAAAACATAGTAAATTTCAACCATATACATTAAAATAGTTATAAAAATATAAATTAAAACAGTTTGCCAGGTTAAAAATTGTCATCCATATCAGTCCAGATGTGGTCAAATAAAATCTTGTCTTCAACAATAAAACCATCTATTCTGTGAATGCCTGATCTCATAGCCAGGATTTAAGTTTCTTCCAGAAGGTCAGGAGAGAGGGGACAGATCTAACCTCATTGGGGACGGAGTTCCACAGCTGAGGGGTCACCACGGAGAAGGCCCTGTCTTTCTTCCCCACCAAACACGACTGCAATGGTGGTTGGCCCGAGAGCAGGGCCTCCCCGGAAGATCTTAAGGTCCTAGATGGTTCATAGGGGAGATACGTTTGGACAGGTAAACTGGGCTGGAACCATTTAGGAATTTATAGGTTAAAACCAGCACTTTGAATTGTGTTTGGAAGCTAATAGGCAGTCAGTGGAGCTGGCGTAACAAGCAAGTTGTGTGCTCCCTGTACTCTGCTCGCGTGAGCAACTTAGCTGCCGAGCGTTGAACTAACTGAAGCTTCCGAACAGTTTTCAAAGGCGATCCCATGTAGAGTGCATTGCAGTAATCTATTTGGGATGTAACTAGAGCATGCACCACCGTGGCCAGGTCAAACCTCCTAAGATACGGGCGAGCTGGCAAACAAGTTTTAACTGTGCAAAAGCTCCCCTGGCCACTGCTGAGACCTGGGGTTCCAGGCTCAGCAATTAATCCAAGATCACTCCCAAACTGCGAACCTGAGCCTTCAGGGGAAGTGTAACCCTATCAAGCACAGGCTGTTACCCTATACGCTGTTTGGCCTTACGACTGATCAGGAGGACCTACATTGGGTTATAATTGTTCTTGAATTAATACTTCCTCATTTAAATGTTATCTTGGTGTTACTACATAGGACTACGAACTTTAAGATCTTCGTGATGTCAATTTCTTATGACCTCTTTTCTCCATCTGTTTCAGAAGAATAATTCTGGTGTTGTGTATTTTTAGGTATGTGTACACACAAAGGTTTTCAATCCTAATTTTTCAATTGCAGGAAACAGAAGACGAGTATGGAACGTGTCCCTCAGGTTATGCACATTACACTCCAATCTATACGTTTCCCAATACACAAAGACTAAATACAGAAAAGAAACGACTTGCACAGGTAATATTTCATCTCACTACCTCAGACATTTAAGAAAATCTTCTTCCCATTGGATGGTATAGGAGGAATGAAATTTGTTCTCATTGTTCAGAATGGGTATGGAATACAAAATTGCATGATTAGAATTCTTCTTTCTCCTCCTTTCTCTAAAGGCCTATTAATCTATCTTATGTCTGCTCCATGATTTTAAATGGAAATTTAAGTGGAAATAATTTTAAATGGAAATGCCAACAGTTATAATTGCTTACTTTTATATCCAAAGAATAAGGTCTAACATGGAGCTATGATTATTTCTTGTGGGAATTTTATATAAAGTCAGAAAATAAGTTTTTATTTAGCAGCTAAAATGTAATTTTAAGAGGAAACAGAATGCAGAATCTGGGTAGGTATGGGTTATAGTAATCATCATTTTATCTTTATAGAGCGTCTCATTCTCATTAGCCTTGTTGACATTATCTCATGGAAAAATGTTCAGGTGGTATTTTGGCACAAGAGTTGGTTTATTTCTCTTCTTTAGCTTTATTCTGGTTTTGGTATTAACAATTCATAATCTGTACCATAATCTGCTTCTGGTCTTGTTTTTGGCAGGGAGAATTGAGATTTTCTGTCTTACATTTTGAACTCTGTTTAATTTCTTTGGTTGCTTAAGAATGTGTTTGCAATGAATTGTTGACCTTGTAAGATTTAGTCAGTCACGCTGCTTCGTTTATTGAGCCTAGACCATTTTTCCCACAATTTTTTATTCTACTCTGATTCCTACTTTTCCATTACAATATTGTAGATTGAACAAGCAGTTCTATTTTGATGTGTGATCAGTTTCCTCCTGAACTCCAGCATAAAATCTTTAAATTTATTCATCTTCTTTTGCCTCTGTAGTTGGGAGGTGAATAAACTTTGGTTATACAGGTTTGTTCCTAAAATGAATTTGTAAATAAGTTGGAACAGGTACATTTTTAAGTATAATTTCGGCAATATATATATATATAGAGAGAGAGAGAGAGAATGAGAGAGAGAGAGAGAGAGAGACAGAGCGCTTTGGATAACATAGGGAAGAGTTTTCACCCTTTTGGTGTTTGTCTTGCTGTCTGTGTCCCTGTTCAGAAAATTTCTCCTCACTTTTTTCCCTTGTGATAATTGGATTTTGAAAAAAAATGGCTTGTTGTGAAAACAAGGTTTGGTGTTAAAACTTTAGTTGAGACACTTTTTCCCCATGATAACTCTTTCAGGAGTGAATTTACCTTCCTGGGAGTAGATTTCTCTCACTTTGTTGTCTCATCCCAATTCTTAATTACGATTGTGTTATAAGTCAGATACTGGAGACTGTCTGTATTTATATTGATGGGTATTTATATTAATTAGACTTTGTATTATATTCTTTGGCTACTTTAGCTATCTCTCCTCACTATTCATGCCACCCACTTCCACTTAGTTGAACAAAATATTGTGGAGTTGGGTTGTTGTAGGTTTTTCGGGTTACATGGCCATGTTCTAGAAGCATTCTCTCCTGACGCTTTGCCTGCATCTGTGGCAAGCATCCTCAGAGGATGTGTAAATTCATATATATATATATATAGAGAGAGAGAGAGAGAGAGATCATCTGCATTCAATGATACCTTGAATTAATTCAATTAATTAACTAATTTGTTCCATGCTGCTTGTATGTCAAAACAAAACCCAGACCAAGCAGCAGCTCTCAACTCAAATGCTCTTAAGTTGGGATGCTCTTAAGCCAAGATTCCACTTTTTGATAATCTTTTAAGAATGCTTGTGGGATAGGTCATATGTGGATTTCAAAGGCTGGTGAATGTGTATGAATTGCTAGCAATGATTATTTAATTTTGTGAATGCTTCAAAATAGATACTATGAGTTCTAATGAGTTATGTAACTGTTAGGTTCAGCAGTATGCCTTTTCTTTTTTTATAATAATTTTTATTTCATTAAAACACACATACACACAGTATGGATACATACAAATACAAACTAGATTACCTTCTCTCACAGAATATAATATCTAACTAACATTAACCACAACTAAACTACCCTCCAAACGAACATGTACATAAAGCTAGACTCCATTTCAGAGCTAAATCTGAAGGGTCCCCCCCCCCCCCACATATTTCTCTCTTAACATCAGGTTAAATTACTTGACTTATAAAAAACGAACATTTTATGCATATTAGTCTTCAGAAGCATAATATTTCCTTCTTTCTTCTTTTTAAAGTTAAAACAGTTCCTGATCTCTCAGAAATTTATTCGGTATCTTCTCTTGAATTAAATTTGTTCATTTTAGCCATTTCAAAGATCTCCAAAGTCCAGTCTTTTTTTGTGGTGAGAGGAGTTTCATTTTCTATGGATTTCCACTTTTGAACTTATGGCAGTCTTGCAGCTAATATAACAGATCACCCTAAACTTCACACCTTTAAATAGTTCATTAAAAATCCTCAACAGAACAAAATCTCGAGTTTTAGAGTGTTTACAAAGTTACTATGGAATTACCGGCACGTGTTTCTGTGAAGCAGAAGTGGTGCATAGGATGAGATTCAGTTGTAGGAGTGTCAATTCTAGGCTTAGTGGTTGAAACTGTTCAGGATGGACAAATCTGTTGTCTATAAGACTCTGAGATCCACCAACAGGAGCTTGATGCAAAACATACACATTTAGATTCAAACTATTTATTTATTTATTTATTTGCCGTGTCAGGGCAACCAGTCAATTATATTACATTTCTAACAGAACAAAGCAAACAAACAGACAAAATACAAAATTTGTGAGTTTGGTAGTTGATTAAATGTCCTTTGACCAGTAGCTGGCCACTTGGAATGCTTCTGGTGTTGCTGCAAGAAGGTCCTCCATTGTGTATGTGCCAGGGCTCAGGTTGCATTGCAGCAGGTAGTCAGTGGTTTGCTCTTCTCCATGCTCGCATGTTGTGGATTCCACTTTGTAGCCCTATTTCTTGAGGTTGGCTCTGCATCTCGTGGTGCTAGAGCACAGTCTGTTCAATGCCTTCCAAGTTGCCCAGTTTTCTGTGTGCCCAGGGGGAGTTTCTCATTTGGTATCAGCCACTGGTTGAGGTGCTGGGTTTGAGCCTGCCACTTTTGGACTTTCGTTTGCTGAGGTGTTCCAGTGAGTGTCTCTGTAGATCTTAGGAAACTATTTCTAGATTTAAGTCGTTGACGTGC